TTTGAACAGCTGTTTAATATTGTGTTTCTGAGGGGTATATGAGGCTTTACGTCTTTTTACAGGTAGGTCTCAACTTACAACGGCAATTGGGACCATAATTTCCATTGTTAAGCAATGCGGTCATAAAGCACGACTGCACTGCTTAGCGACGGTAATCCCTGCAGTCCCGGTTGCTGTCATTAACTGAATCCCACAGTTGTTAGGCGAGGCAATTTCCTGCTGGCTTTCCACAGCCAAAGTCAGTGGGGAAGCCAGCAGGAAGTGGGAAGTCCCAGGCCTTCAGGCAGGTAAGTGACTGCTGTCAGGTAGGGGAGGGTCAGGGAGGGTGTGTGAGAGGCATGGGGAGGGTGCATGAGGGAGGGGCAGGGAGGATTGCAAGGGCGCGAGAGGCACAACACGGGTTGGGGAGGGTGTGCAAAAGTGCGCAAGAGGTGCAGTCCAAGTTGGGAAAAGTGTGCGAGAGACGCAGTGAGGGTCAGGTGAGAGGTGCTGTGCGGGTTGGGGAGGGTGCACAAGGGTATGCAAGTGACCAGTGCAAGTGCAGAGGGGCTGGGGGAAGGTCCACGGGCGGGGGATACTTACTCCAGCAACTTGTGCCCTTCCCTGATGGCTTCCCCACTGACTTTTTGGGGAAGCTGGCAGGGAAGGCTGCAAATGACAATCAGATGATCTTGGGGTGCTTAGTAACTGGTCGTAAGTACGAATGGGTTGCCAAGCACTCAGATCACAATCACATGACTGCGGGGCTGCTGGGATAGCCGGAACTCCAAGGACTGTTTGTAATTACCATTTGTTCAGTGCTGTCATAATTTTAAATGGTTGCTGAACGAATGGTTGTAGGTTGAGGACTATTAAGAGTAAAAAATGACTTGATGGCACGTAATCAAACAATCATGAGGCTCTGCAGAGGGAAGGATGATAGATGGCCTCTACGTTTGGTATGTGTTGATGAACTCTTTGTGCTTATGAAATCTATATCAAACCAGGCCTTTCAGCCGTGAATAGTACTGTAAGTTCTCTGTGGGCTCCTGGTGGTTAAGGCTGGCTGCAATGCTTGCACTATTCTATTAAAATAGTCCAAGCTGCTCCTTGTTGTTTCAGGGCTAGCAAAGTAGAACAAATGTAGAAAGGATTCTAATTAAGGGCAGTGGCGGTCTGTTCCTTCGTTTTTTGGAACCATCTTGCATAAGAGTATCAGATCTTCGGCACTGAGTTTGAGAAGTTGGTTTTCTCTAGGCATAACAAGTTTCCTTACAAAATTCACATACAGCTAATTTAGAATACAGCTTATTCAAGTCACTTATCAGGGCAGTTAGGAATTTTGAATCTGACTCAGTGACAATAACTTGAGAGAGACAGCTACAGAGTCACTTGTGGAGATCCTAGATATGGCCGAAAAGATATACTCAGCCTGCTGATAAATGGCTTATTTATTTATTTATTAATTAAACTTTCTGACCACAAATAAAGCTTTACTCCTTCAACTAATGGCAACAACATATTTTTCTCCATGTTTAAACTAAGGCCAATTTCTTTTTATGTCAAAGCAGCAATACAGGAATTCCATAAGCATGTTAGCACATAAAGATGACAGTTCACTGTTTTCATTTCCTAGTTTACTTCACCAGAAATACTAAGCAATACATATCTACTTAGGTTGTTTTTCAGAGCATTTTTTACTTTACTGCATGGTATTAATGCAACTTCAGCAGTCACAGCTAACCTGTTTCCAAATTAAAGCTGTCAAAGAACAGTTTCCAGATATTTTTCAAAGAAGAATATTAATGAAAAAGAAACCTTAATAACATTTGGAGGAAAGTTAGTTGCTAGTGTTTTTTTAATAGAGGTATGAATCCTGCTGCATGCCCACTCAATTTGTGAAGCCTAGTCTCTGCAAACTGAGTGCATTAACACTAGCTTAAGTGAGAGAGGTTCCTCGTATGAAGAAATTATCTCAGCACTTAAGATTCAGAAATACAAGTAATGGTAATGAAAATACCTTTCTTCATTATCAGGCAAGGGTTTTCCTTCAGTTTTTAAATGCTCCAACTCGACTGGCTTTGCTTATGAAGTTCTTCATGAGGTCATGGTCCATTTCTGCAAAACCTGGAGACTGAGTAACGACTGTCAGATGGTTGATGCAAAACCGGAAGCAAAATTCCTCTAACTCCTGGAAATGGAGTGTTACATATTAATACACACCATTAACATGTTATATTGTTCCAAATCATCATGTGGGTAGCAGTCCAGGGCTGAAAAAAACGACAACAGTCCTGAAATGGGGAAAGAAATCTGGAAAGCAGTAGAAACTGAGGAAAACAGCTGTTGCAATCTGTTCCACTCATTAAAAATCATCTTTATTTGATCTCATAGCTAACTTAAGTGCCAGTTTCCCACTCATGAAATTTTCCTCTGAGGGGGAAGAAAATTAATGAAGGGAGAGTAGTGTTAAGGAAAAACAAAACCCAGAAGCTATTTCAACACAGCCCTATTAAATACTAAATAAATAAATATGATAAATAAGTACCAAATAGTCATACATTTTCCCCCTGTGCCCTCCTTCACCAAAGAGCAGGTTCCCATTTCTCCATCACAATGAAACAACCTGATAGGCTTTCTATTCAACTCTTCTCCTAAGCTCCAATTTACACCTCTTTGTCATGGGTCATCCCTCACTCTGTGGTTTTCCACATCTTCCTTCAATGTAATTGGGTCAGATCCGACCTAAATCCAGAGATCTAGGATAAATAGCAATTTAATATCTTGGTGTTTTACCCTCTCATTCAACTGTAATTTTTCTATAACTCCCTGAGACCACTCTTGGGGAAGGGAGATTGAAATCTTAGGCTGATCCTTTCTTGTGGCCATTCCACCTCATCTCAAGAGCCAGGCAGTGGGGCTACAGAGTACCTTGAAGTCCAGCTGTTGCTATTAAATGCCAGGTCTGCCTGTAATAAATCCACCCTTCTCCATCTTGAATGAGAGGGCAGACACTGTGTGTAACCTGGATGGGTGAGGAGTGTGGTTTCTCCTTTTAGAGAGATGCTCATCTGGGTTTCAGGTATTGTAGCAGCCCCAAATTCAATGTAGGGGAGGTGGAATGGTGATTATCATCTAGGAGATTTGGCAGGTGATCAGCAGATAAGTGATGTAAAGCATTATTTCTGACATGAGAGGCAAGTTGGGGATGCTGTTGTTCTACCAGCTTTCCTGTTGTATATCATTGTCCCTTGACCTTATCATAGGACTGCTGTTGGAATTCTTAGTTGTTTAGATCAGGGGGACTTCAACTTAACTTCTCTGCTCATAAATTAACAACCACCATGACAACCAAGGGGTTGTCCCAGGTGATCATGAGCCGGATTCACATAGGCAGCCACATATTAGATCTGATTTTACCTTGGAGCAGCTGAGATGTGAACTCAGAGTGGGAGGCATTCGCAATCAGTCCCTTGTCATGGTCAGATCACTATCTGCTTCCATGGAATTAACTTGCACCACAGATCTTTGTGAGGAAGATGGACCTTTTTGATCAATCTGAACCAGAACTCTAATGGATCTAGCTGGTTTCCAAAGGACATTTGGGGAGTTTTCCAAAGCCCTAGAAGGAGTTCTACTGAGTTCCTGCTCAACCTCTGGAATAAGTGCTTGTCCCCAGTGCTTGACAGGATTACTCGTAAGCAGCTTCTCTAGTTGCCAGTTCATGGCATTAGGGGACAACTAAGATCATGCTATCCCTGAATGGTGAAACACTGGATTGTTTGATTGTAACAATATTAATTGATTTTTGTTTTTGATATTATTATATTAATATTGCAAGCAACTCAGTGTTTTCAGAAATGGAGTGGCATGAAAGTTGTAGTAATATTTAAATAAATTGATAGTGCTACTATACATTATTATTTTAAAGATTCAATGTCTTCAATAAAAGTAGCTCATATGTTATAGTAAAAGAAATATTATTTTTAAAAATGCTAATTATTCATATTTAACTTACAACTGTTTTAATCATTAGCTTTAAGAAGCTAGTTTCACTGAACTCAGAATATTCCAGCATACACTTAAAATTCCAGCATGGAGTTATCTCTGGGTTGCTCCAATTTCCTTTATTCACCTCTTTTAGTTCTCTAGATGTTTCATGCAGCCAAGTGTGTCTCTCCAACAGTTGTTCCATAAGTTGTGAAGCTGCACTGATAGCTTGAGAACTACAAATACTGTGATTTTCAGATTAATGATTTATAATAGCAAATTCTTAGTATTTGCACAATGCTTTCACATCTTCAAAGTGCTTCACATACATTATCTGCTCCTAATTTTTAGCAGACCCCATAAGATAGGCCAGTTGTAGTATATACCAACAGTGCGGATGGAAGACTAAAATAGAGGAAAATGATTCCTTGACTGATGCCACCCAATATAATTGCAGAGGCAGATTCAAACTCACAGCTCAGTCTTAATCACCAGCTTCTTAGATCATTTCTGGTTCCCAAGCATATAGAACAAGAACCCCCAGCCGTAGCTACCCAGTAAAGAATATTCTCCATACCTTTGCTTCATACTTGACTGCAGTTGACAGAAGGGCAATTGCATTCTCTTCAGAAATGCCCTGCTTAATTGTTTGCTGGCAAAGCTTCTTTAGTCGGTTTTCTCTATAAAAGCTTGCCAAGTCCAACAGGCCTGCCAAAAGGAAAAAATCAAGTTCATACACAGGTTAGAAGGAAAGCGTGATTTTTTTTCTTTCAGTAATTCATAACTATAAAATACCCATGGGAGGAAAATGTTGATGGTAATGTCACATATGAAATGCTGGTGTTTTAAATATAGGTATCTGCAAATGATCACTGTGGGTAGCCCAAGGCTCAAAAAATGATGACAATCCTGAAATGTGGAAAAAATCAGGGAAGCAGCAAAACAAGAAAGCATTGCATTGAGTTCAACCATCACCTTATTGCCTGAGTCGATCAGTACATGTTTACAAGCTCAGCTAGATTATGTACAACAGATTAGGTGGGTCACCAATGAAGTCCCAGGGCAGGTGTCTTTGAGCATCAGCTCAAAAAGGGACAGAATGAATCAAGAGTTGGAATTGTTTATAATTAATGGCTTCACTGTTAAATATAACACAGAAAATAAGGATCCTTATTCCCTCATATTACAATTTACTTCTGGGTTTATAATAAAGCAAAAAATAAAAAATAAAAACAAAAACAAAAAATCCCTGTTATCTATATAAGGCAAGGCAGACAGGAACAACAGTAGCAAATGGACTGAGGCAGCTGGGCAAAAAAAGTGGGGGGGGGAGTACAGGAGATTTTAGTAGACTCTCTTCATCCCTAAAACATTAGCTGTGTAACTTTGTTCACGAAGTTCTCAGGGAGAGGAGACCCCTCTAAAATGCAAGGCATTGTCTACACACAATGGAAATTTTGCCCAAACCAGAGTAAAACAAGTATAGTAATTAATAAGATGTGGGGAGAGGGGACATATATTGTAACTGATTCTTCCGGCATATTTTAAAATTTAGGTCAACAACAAAAATGTCTTTAGATGTATCAATAATAAGAAACTGACTAGGGAGGTAAGTAGAAATTAGACTACAAATGAGGAAATGGTAAGAAATTGGATGAGTCTATCCTTGCAGAAGATGTAGATTCTCAGTTTGAAGTTATTCCCCCCCCCAGAATTCTGATAATTTAAAATCTATGGACCAGTTTTAGGGCTTATTAACAAATGAAGCAACTGACTCACTGGATTCAAAAAGTAAAAAAAGTTGACAAAACTAAGGAATCCCTCTGAGCTTTTGTAAAAAGCAGATCTTTTTTAGCACAAGTATCGTTCTCAGACTCATGGAGAATGTACTTTTCTAGGACCAGCCCAAATAAAGTTAATGCATGAAAAAAATTGGGCTGGTCCTAGAAAAATACATTCTCCATGAATCTGAGAACACAGTACTTGCTCTAAAAAAAAAAAAAAAAGCTTTTTACAAAAGCTCAGAGGGATTCCTTAGTTTTGTAACATAATAAAACCCTATCGTTATTAGGAACACCAGAGGAGCCAGTGTTCCACAAATTCAAAACTTAACAATATCTATTGTTAAAAAGCACTATTTAGGGGTGGGGTAATAGTTTGTACTTTGAAAAAGGAGGTTCCATTCTGGTCTGATGGAAATCTATTAGGGAATTTCAGGTATGTGCAGGTAGCAGCAAGACTGGGCCGAGAGAGTGAAAGGTTGTGGGTCTCAACCTCTTCTCCCAGTACCCTCTGGATCAATACATTCTTACCTTTCCTACCTTAGCAGAATTGTTTTGTAGTTATTAAACAGTAATTTATTAAACTTGTATGCCACCCGACTCCCAACTCTGGCCGGCTCACAACAATAAAAACAAAGAAATTACAATAAAATCAATAAACCATAAAAAATTAAGATAAAAGGTCAGCTTTATTTTTGGCTCAAGCTTAACTTCTCTAGTAAATTCCTGGTTGCTGTGATCCTTCTTGATAGATTTTCGTCTTCCTGGAAAGCAAGAATCTGATGTGAAGAGGTTCCAAGTGGCACAAAAGACATTTCCTACCACTTGAACTGAATTACATGTGACCTCCTGGGGGGTCCTAACCAGCCAGGAGCATCATGGATCTAACACAAAGGTGGCAGGACTCAGCATCCCAAGAACCCTGTCCACTTCCTTGGGAGGAACCGGATTGAACTCTGCCCAGAAATCTGGGGAAGACTGTGCCTCAGTTATCTAAAGATCAGCTCTGCTGGAATTCAATTCCAAACAGATCCAAATGACTATGTCCATCAGAGGCTGAGCATAATCGTCACAATGACCCTAAAAGGGATCCTGTAACACTCCTTACCCCAAAAGGACCAAGCCACACAAAACAGGGTCACTGGGCGGCTATCCGCAAACACAATAAGGGTGGAAGAATAAGGACGTTTCCCCACCCTTATTGCCATAAGATTGTCCTCAGTGAAGGCTCTCGTGTGCTCAGTCACTCACTCTTCATCTTCTTTCAGTGGTGCTCTAAGTATCTCTTGCACAACTTCATTTCCTAAAGCACCTCTGAAAACTGGGGAGCCTCCGGGATTTTCATGCACAGAAAATCTGCACAGGCACAATCTAAGGCCTCCATTTCTTGCTCATGCCAAGCATTGACTAAGGTCTCAGCCAACCATGCACCAGAGCTTCAGGGAATACCCCAAGTTCCCTTTGGAACCCACTGGGTCAATCACATAGGTCCCTCCTCCACGCAGTGGGAGTAGCTGCAGAGAACTCCAAGGCTAACAGGGAGTGATCTGTATATAACAAGGGATAGAGGACAATATCCCCTAACTCCAGATCACATCTCATTGAGGGCTGGCTGGTTCAAGCTGTCCCCACCACTGGGCAAGCACTAGCATTACAACTAACATGAAAGTTACAGCCAGCCTTGCAATCAGCAAGATGCCTCTTCTAATTCCATGTTCCTCTGGCTCAAACTGGTGGAACCAATAACCAATCAACCAGACAACAGGTGATTAGCAGTGCTATTCCATCTGCTACACTGCCACTGGAATGCCAGGAAGCCTCTTTGGTTGCCACACTGACTTCAGCACTGGTCTGCAATTCTCTACTGACCACTCAACCACATTCCTGCTACCCAGCAGTTTGCTCCAGGGGATCTGCTCTCCACCAGCCTCCCAAGCTGCCACCACTGCAGCTTCCCACCCTGCACTGGACCACACAGGTCTCTGCAACACACCAACCATTCCAATTTCTCAAAACATCACCAAACAGCCTCTCCATCCTCTTGACAACATATCAAACACCATCTAAACATCTAGCCCAGCAACAAGCATCTGGCCTCAACACCATATTAAAAAAGAAAAAGAAAGAAATAACCATGCTGGACAATTTTTGTCTGTTCTCCAATCTTCTTTTTTAATGAAGGTTGTTGAGAAGGTGACAGGCCTGCAGCTTCAAAGGGCTCTGGAGGAAGTCATTATCTAGACCCAGGCTGAGATACAGCACCAAGATGGCAATGATCACACCTGTGGTGGGCTCGGGGATGGGGACAGTGTATCTACCCTGACCCTTCTTGATCTCTCATAGGCTTTTGATACCATTGATCATGGTATCCTTCTGGGTTGGTTGAAAGGGCTGGGAATGGAAGGCACTGTTCTTCAGTGGTTCTCTTGCTTCCTCCATGGCTGGTTACAATAGGTGTTGGTAGGTGTAACAGATTTAGCTCTAGTCCTCTGCTATGTGGTGTGCCACAGAGTCTGACACCCTCTCCATTCCTATTTAAATCTACATGAACCACCAGGTGAAGGTATCTACCAGCACAGGATTAAGTTTCATCAGTATGCTCATCACATTCAGTTGCACATTTCTGCCTTGGGCCAACCGAATGATGCTGTTGAAGTCCTTTACTGATGCCTGGAGGTTATATGGATCTGGATGGGGAGGTACCAGCTTCAGCTCTGGCTGAAACGTGACAAGACTGAACAGTTTTAGGCCCCCCTATATCTGGTGATTTTCCATAATTAATTCTGAGTGAAGTAATACTCCCCCAAGCAGAGTTGGTGTGCAATCTGGGGGTCCATCTGGACTTGCAGCTCTTGCTTGAGGATCAAGTAGCAGCTGTAGTCGAGAGGGCATTTGCACAAATACATCTTGTGTGCCAGTTGCATCCATTCCTCAGAAGGCACTGCTCATGATCACTTACACCTTAGTTACTCCCTTATTGAACTATTGCAACATGCTTTACATGGGGCTGTCTCTAAATGGCATTTGGAAGCTTCAGTTGGTCCAGAATGCAGCAGCACATGCAATAATGGATGTGTCACCATATGCACATATACTACTACTGCTATGTAAGCAGCACTGGCTCCCAGTAGGCTTCTGAGTGCAATTCAAGATGCTGGTTGTCATCTCTAAAGCCGTGCATGGCATGTGGCCAGCTTACTAGTGGGATCACCTCTCCCCAATGGTTTCTGTTTGTCCCAGTGGATCTTGCTGAGCAGGCACGCTCCAGCTCCCCACTGATGCGGCCATGTCACCTGGTGGATCTTAGGAACCATGGGTTCCGTCATGATGCCTGCCTTATGGAACAGTCTCCCCCCAGAGATACAGATGGCCCTCACTCTGTTGCCTTCAGGGAAAGCAGTGAAGTCCTGGCTTTTCCCCCAGGCATTGGGGCCAGGTTGTTAGTTTTTGGAGTTCTGGCATAAATGTATAGTGTGGGTGTCCTCTGAAATATTTAATGCAAGGACCTTGATCTGGGGCTTTTTTGGTGTGTTTTATACAATTGTTGATTTCTGTACTTTTTGTTCACCATCCAGAGTTTCACTGGACAGATGGATAGCTTTATAAATTTGATAGAGAAATAAATAAATAAATAACCTACAATTTACTGAGCAACTACTGAGAGCATAATTACCTGAGACAATGTAGTAGAACGAGCAGGCACAGAAAATAAATTAAACTTGATAGAGTTCTTAGCTTTTTCTCATTCCTCTTCAGAATAGATGTTAACTTCTGTGCCAGTTTGCTACCTAGAAATTATTTCCTGCAAATGCCAACTTAAATCTGAAGCTAAGAGATGTTCAGTCCCACTCATTTCCAGCCTGTTTAGCAACTCCTGCCTGAAAGGAGAAAACATCTTCTTAACTAGCAGAATGGGAGGGATCTGGGGGATTTGCTTCTTGCAGATGTGCCCAGACCAAATTCCTTCTGTGGGAAACCCAGAGAAGATTCACATGGCTGAGATGGCTCTTGCTGTCTGGTGGGAAGGGCTGGCTGGCAGGCAGGCAGGGACAGTGAAAGTGGGACTGGAGGGTTGCTGGCCCACTGATTACAGCACCTGTGAATAATCTACCAGGGTTTCAGTCCCTTATCCAAATTAGTTCATTTTTTCCTCCTTGAAAAAGCAAAGGAAAAAAAAACCAAAATCCCCAAATTTAAGCTTACTATGCAGTGCTGAAATGACTGCCTTTTCCACCTTGGAGAAGCTTTTTTTGCCTTTGAGTTAAGGAGACCATTGCAATCACAGGGAGATTCTGTCTTTCTTTTATATTAAGCATCTGGGAAAAGCTGAAATCTGTTTTCAAGATTTCAGCATATGGATGGGGGCATCTGGTCTCTTTCCTTCTCTTCTCCTAATAGCAGAAATGGAAAAGAAAACTCCCTCCTTCTCCTTTTTCTGGCTACCACCTTAACAGGGATTTCCCAATCAGACAGAAAGTTCCTTTGAGCCAAGAAAGACTGTTGGAGCTATTACTCCACCATTTGGAAAGTCAGAACTGTATCTTCTGGAGTTTTGCCCTCAAATATAGCCTGGAAATATATTTTCTTTAATATAAAATTTCTGAACTATAATTACTGCAGCAACAAAAAACTCCCAAGACAGATTCCAACATAAAGATTATGAACTCAGCAAAAAATGTTAAAATTGTTCCCAAGGAGAACTTCTAGTACATTAGTTAAAGAAATTGCCCTTTTTCGATACCTGTGGCAGCTTAATGGGAATGAGGTGTTTCTATGTTAACTTTTCTTATTTAGTGCACTGTCTGCATACCAATTATTATTATAAAATCTCATCTTAGCAAGGTGTCTGCTATTGAGTAAAGTCTGATGAATCCAAGAGTGTGGCATTGTGGGGATTTATATCATTTGCATAATTATGTAAATTCATTCATTTCTGCATTCTATTTGCATAATTTCTGCCATAATTTGTTCTGCTCCATTGAAAATCCACTGCGACAAGGTCTGGTAAAGTAAGATTTCACTGAGTTTCTTACATACATTTAACTTGCTTCTGGATTGTTAGATGATTTTTTTTCCTAGTTCCAACAGGGAATATAGGTTTTCTCCTATACATTTTATCTTGGACATTGTCTATCAGCTTACCTTCAATGAAGGTAACAGTAGCAAGGCTTAATTTTAACTTGGCACCCACACTTGAATTTTTTTGCTGCTGAAGCAATATCTTCACCCAAGTTGGGACAGGCGAAGAAAGAAAAGGCTGCAATGAGTGCTTTAAATTCTCACAAGTACTCACTAAACCATGCACAGGTCAAGTAGCTTTAGAGCCAACAGAGATGACTGTGAATTCCTATCTACTGTAGTAACTATGCTGTTACTATGGATTAAAACAAAGGATGCAATCCAGCACAACTAGGCTACCTAAAATTTTAAATTTCTTCTCATAATTATTCATGCAAACATTGAGAGAGATATATATTCTGGAAGCAACACACCTCTAATTACTAATTACAAACATCAGTGGGTGCCTATCTTTATCCTGGCCTACTGGGAAGGTCACAGATTGCTGAATATAGGATTCAGCAGTGTAATGCTTTCTCTTACAACTTACTGCACAACTTGTCTCGTTACACCAGTCTGCTTATTTTCCTTTATCACTAATAAAATACTTTCTCTAATGCTACAAGATGTGAAAAATATATGCAGACTCATTCCATTGCTTTGCTCTAAGTTTGCACAAGTCAGTATATTCAAGAGCTAATAGTGTTATGTAAATATCATGAAAAAATACATTAACTTCTTAGCTGGTAAATTAATTTCAGTTCTTCTGTTCCAATTACCTACTGCATCCTCAGGAGGGAGACTGATGCTATCCGTATAAAGATATTCCAGAAATGCTCGGTAAACAGGGTATGAGAATTCACTTATTTCTATAATTTCTTCATTATTGTTGTTTAGTATTGAATGGAAATGCTCACACCTGGGCACAAAAAGGAAACAGTTACAATATCAGCACCAGCAAACAGCTTGATTTGTACCATGTAACAGAAAACCTGAAAGGTTAACATGAAAATGATATGGAAAAGATGAACCCATGCAAAGGCAACATGCATTAGAAAGAGGGGTTGAGCCATTCCTGTTCTATATTAGCTGTGTCTTTTGCAACTATGAATGCATTGTGTTTCACTCTGGAAGAGAAACAGAACCAAGTAAGTCCTATAGCTACAGAAAAGATACCATTATGCATAAATAATGTAAAACTTAGATACCCACTTAATACTGTAATACACACACACATATAGAGATATAGATAGATAGATAGATAGATAGATAGATAGATAGATAGATAGATAGATAGATAGATAGCCTTTGAGTCAGTCTTGGACTGTTCCCTGCAGTTTCCTTGGCAAGAGAGGGACTGGTCCAAAGTCACCCAGCTGGCTTTCATGCCTAAGGTGGGACTAGAACTCACAGCCTTGTTTCTAGTCTGGAACCTTAACCACTACATCAAACTGGCTCTCAGATGAATTATGTACATTGTAAAGACTTATTTCCATTTTTGACAATGTAATAGTCAGTACAATCTTTTGCTGATCATCACTTGTTTTGTTTTTTTGAAACTGTTTATTCATGCAGAGTAATATTTTCTCTTTAATAAAAAACATATCAAGCTCCAGCTGAATAGGAATATGGTACATGTTGGGGAGACAGAAGGAGTTGGTCCTTCAGCTGAAGATACATACACATGAGTTAAAGATACAGACATAATGGGCATCAAGACAATTTTCACATTTTAAAGTTTTCTATTCTCCATGGACTCTTATTAAGCTATTTATTTTAAGTTGAGTGTGGAAGACTTGTTGTCCGCATATCTGTACTTTGCAGTTCCCTCAGCAGTGCCTTATTAATGCCAAGCCACACCTCCACTTATGTTGTTGCTTTATGGCTCATTATTTCCAACTTGTAACTGCACCATTGTTTCAAAAAGTGATATCTTTACTGTAATTATAGCATTAATACATCAGTCCAAGTGGCTTTCATAAGTCTATGGAAGGATGCCAACTGTTATTACAGAAAACTAAGAAAAACTCAGATGAGTTATGAAATTCAGCAGCACAGTATTTTAATACCACTAGAGAAACTTTCTGTATAAGGGTCAGAAAGCCAGGGAAGATGATGAAAGTATTTGAGAAGACTGATAATTTCGTACCTAATTTTGAGGAGGACTTTATGAACATAAATGTATTTTCCATCTATTTGAAACCTCAAATCAGCATTATCTGGGTTATCAAACTCCTTCTTTATTGATTGAGCTACTGTTAAGTGATCGTCAGGTTCTGAAACAAAAATATTACAAATATTTTTAGTAGTACTCTTTATTTCAGTCTCTTTCATAATACATGAAAACATTAATGGAAATCAAACAACAAGCTGCATTTTGCACCATACAGATAAAAGCAGCACTATGAAACTCGGACAAACAAAACAAGAGAAGAGGATACTTCTGTCAGCATTCTTCTCTACAGAATATATTTGCATTTGCTGTGTCAGAATTGTATCAGGAATAGTGAGTGTAAGTGATGAACTAACCACAACTTCATTTGTTACATATCCAGCTGAAAGTTCCTACAGTTTATACCATCTGAGATTCAATCTAAGAAAGGTTGAACAGTAAAATTAGCTGTATATATTAGCAGGAATTTTTTCTCATAGAAGCCTGCGCTGCTTATATGCAAAAGAAAACATTTAAAGCCATATAAATTACTTAAATAAATAAATAGGTAAGCAGCTAGATAGACAGTAGAAAATACAATGTGTGAAGTAGCAGTCTCTTTAGCTCAGCACAAACAGCAAATTAGTCTATGTGCCGGTTAAAATGTGTTCACCCCACAAAGCTATCTAAGTGGTATCACATAGGGTTTAACTCCTGATAATTACAAGTAGTCCTCAACTTATGACAACTGGGACCAGAATTTCCATTGTTTAGCGATGGCAATCCTTGCAATCCCATTTGCCATTGTTAACTGAATCCCACAGTTGTTAGCCAAGACAACTTCCTGCTGGCTTCCCACAACCAAAGTCAGTGGGGAGGCTGGCAGGAAGTTGTAAGTCTCAGGGTGGCAGGCAGGTAAGTGGCTGCTGCCAGGTGGGGGAGAGTGAGGGGGTACGTGGGGGAGGGTTGGGGAGGATGCACGAGGGTATGAGGGGGTGCGCAAAATCAGGAAGGGTGCGCAGGGGTGTACGAGAGATGCCATATGAGTCTGGGAGGGTGCATGGGTATGCGCGACTGTGTGAGAGGCAGTGTGTGTGTTGGGGAGAACATGCGGGGGTGTATGAGAGGTGCTGCACAGGTTGGGGAAGGTGTGCAGGGGTGAAGCATGGGTCAAGGAGGGTGCATGGGGGTGTGCAAGAGGCCATGTGGGTCAGGGAGGATGCATGGGATGGGTCAAGTGCATGGGGGTGCAAGAATGGCTGGTGCGGTGCGAGCACAGAAGGGCTGGGGAGAGTGCACGGGGGGGGGGGAGACTTACCCCAGTGACTTGCAGCCTTTCCTGCCAGCTTCCCCGTTGATTTTCTGGGGAAGCCGGCAGGAAAGGTTGCAAATGGCGATTATGTGAGTATGTATGGGTTGCCAAGCGCCCAGATTGCGATCACATGACCATGGGGGGTGCTGAGACAACCATAACCCTGAGGACCAGTTGTAACCACCATTTGTTCAGTGCCATTGTAACTTCGAATGGTTGCTGAACAAATGGTTGTAAGTTGAGGACTACCTGTATATGGGTAATGTTCACCATCATGACCAGTCTAGTCTAATTCATAGCTCTTCAAAAAACATTCCTATAATCTCTTTGATAAGATCTGGTAACAATCTTTTCACTGTCTTCCTCTTCTGCTTCCTTCAACCTTGCCAAGTATATTTTTTCCCAGTTCATCATCCACTCATATCTTACATGCCCAAAATATGAGAACTTTTGGCTTGCTGATCAGCCTTCGTTTAATCCAAGACTGGCAACTGTTTTCCTGGGATCCATGACACTTTTAGTAACTGTCTCCAAATCCACAATCTAAAGGTATTATTTTTCTCAGTGGCACACTCTCAGGACCGTATGTTACTACTGGAAAAACCACTGCTTTAACTATACTGATCTGTATTGTCACAGACATATCCTTCATGATCATTGCTTTCCTCCCTAGGATTAAACTCCTTTTTACTTTTCCAATACATTGTCTATTTTTAGTTTTGACTCCAAAAACTCACTTCTCAAGGAAAAGTAACATAGAAGAGATTCTCTTATTTTTAGGTGCTTTAACTTGAATGGAGGAATGGGATGAGGGGAGGGGAAGGGCTATTTAACCATGTCTTTCCTAGCCATGGAAATTCTGCTCAGAATGGCTTACCCCAGGAGGCTTACCCCTCTTGTCCCCAAGATGCAAAACATTCACACAGCTTGGGGTGGAGGGGAGGGGTCATATTGAACAAGCCCATGGCTGGGAAGGAAGTCTTCCAGAAAAGCTAGAAGCCGTACAGTGATACCTCGGGATACGAATGCCTCTGCTTGCGAATTTCG